CCCGTATTCCTAAAGCAAAAGGTGCACCCACCGCCCGCGCACTGTATACACACCTATGAAAACCCTAAACCCTAATCCCGAAACCCCTAAACCCGGAAACCCTAAACCCTATAAACCCTAAACTCTATAAGCCCTAAACCCTAAACCCTAAACCCTATAAACCCTAAACCCTAAACTCTATAAACCCTATAAACCCTAAACCCGAAGCCTGGTCTCCCGGAACAGCGAAGGAGTGGGAAGTGCTCCAAGACTTGCAGGCGAGGTCCTGCGTCGCCATGTGGCTTCTGTTTTTATAAACTTTCGGGCTTTAGGGATTTAGGGCTTTAGGGATTTAGGGCTTTAGGGCTTTAGGGCTTTAGGGATTTAGGGCTTCAGGGATTTAGGGTTTAGGGATTTAGGGTTTAGGGGCTTGGGTCTCTGTCCCTCTCCTCCCTTTCTCCCTCAGATCTGTCCCTCTCCTCTCCTTCCTAGTACCCACACAGGTAGATAGCTACTTGTAGCCTAGTTACGCATGTGTTCCGGCTGCAGTCTCACGATTGTAAGAAGTCTTGGAGCTGGATCTCGAAAATTCAAGCTATTTCGGATGTGTGTGTGTGTGTGTGTATGTATGCTTTTTTGGTGGCATTGCTTGCGCACGGATTGTCCGGAGACTCTAAACCCAGAAACCCGGAACCCTACAAACCAAAAAACCCCAAATCCTCTAAACCCCAGCATGCAAGCCTGGAGCCCTAAACCCCAAACCCTAAACCACCGTGCTGGGAGTGTAGTATAATTGAGCCTCTCTGACTTCGCTGGCACTAGTCGACGCTGTATGCCGGCCCGCCTCCCCCCGGCCATGGGGGCTGTTGAGTTTAGGGTTTGGGGGCCTGAGCCTTCCAAAACCCTAAAACAAAAAAGAAGCCCTACACCCTACCTAAACCCTAAACCCTAGGCCCTACAAAAAAAACCCTTTCCGGCTCCCACTGTGCGCAGGGCATCCCGGGGGTTCCTAAGCTAGCGGGCCCGGCCTTGTTCTTCGAGGAGAGGTGGGAGTCAGGCTTAGGGCTTAGGCTTTAGGGTTTTGGGTTTAGGGTTTAGGGTTCCGGGTTTCGTGGTTAGGATATAGGGTTTAGGGCTGAGGGTCTATTCAGGGTTTAGGGCGAAGTCAGGCGGGTGTATGAGGAGTTTTTTTGTGCAGGTGCTTTGTGATTTGTGGGATTTACGGAAAAAGGGTTGGGACTTCGGCCTATAGGGCTTTTAAAGGCCTTCGCTGAGGGAGGGGGGCTTGGTTTGATGGCCAAGGCTCTAGGGTGGGGCACTCTCTCCTTCCAGGAAGGGAGGACTAGGCCTTTACGGTTTTTACACGGGTTTTCGCTGGTTCTTTACAGGGGCTTTTTCGGGGCTTTGATAGCCTGTTTTACAGTTTTGTTTTAAATGAGTGTCGCTTTTGGTGGGGAAAGGTTCAGGGTTTCACGGTAAGGGCTACCATAGGGGCTACTACACGGGTGAGCATCCTTTCATCACGGTGACCCTCGATTTCGGGGTTTAAAGGTTCAGGGTTCGGGGTGTGACTATTGGGGGATGGTGGTTTATGGTTTTCCGCTGAGGGCTTGGGTTTGGGGTGTGGAAGTTTAGGGTTTGGGGAACCCTAAGCCCTAAACCCCAAAACCCCTAAAACCCCTAAAACCCTAAACTCCTAAACAGGAGTTTGTAGGGCCATGAGAGGCCAAGCCTAGTTTGGCTCTCTTTCCCCCGCCAGCCTCCGGATTTCACCTAGATCCCATTCCCGTGAGAAGGTTTAGGAGTTTAGGGGTTAGTTTAGGGGTTTAGGGTTTAGTTTGCCCTGCCCCCGAAAAGTGTCAACCCCGCACCCAGGACTTTCGAACCCGTCAGCTGCTTTGCATCGTACGTGCAAGCCTTCGAAAACCTCCACCCTAACCAAGCCCCCATAATCCTGAAGCTGTGACCGTCAAACCTAAACCCCACTCCTAACTCCGATGTATTTTCAAAAAAATTCATCCGATGATTCTGTGTCAGAAAAGCTTTCCTGCCACGCCCCAACATCCCAGAACATGCCCTAAGCCCCAGCCTGAACGCTAGGCCCTAAACCCTAAATCCTAAATCCAAAACCCTAAACCCTAAACCTTAAATCCTAAGCCCGAAAAACCCTAAACCCTAAATCCTAAGCCCTAAAAGCCCTAAATGCCTTAAACCCGAAAAACCCTAAACCCCAAACCGGAAACCCCAAAAACCCCAGCCCTATATAAACCCTCAAGGCTGACTCCCAAGCCCAAAATCCCTAAACCCCAAACCCAAAATCCCTAAACCCTGAACNNCCCTAAACCCTAAATCCTACAGTCCGAAGGACCTGGGTGTGAGGGCTCTTGCTCTGGAGTTCACGGGCATGCCAAGCCTCCAGCAGCACGCAGAGTCGAGGCGGAAGCCGGCCACGGAGGAGCTGCAAAACACAGAGAGAGGGGGTTCTAGAAGCCCTAAACCCTAAAC